TTATGAATCCCAGCCTGCTGGGAAGAGAATGGCCCCTCTGCCCTACGTGCCCTGGAAACAATGGTGGGGTTAATCCTATGCCCTTCCTACCTTCCCAGGGCCAGTTCAGCTCCTGCTTGGAGTTTGTGTGAGAAAATAAAGTGCTGACTATAGATGAGGTGAATGAGGAAAATGCTTAACCGTTACATCCCTAGAATGTTTTTTAAATTTCTATCAGCCTTTTAAAAATTGCTTTAAAAAACATGTGTTCATTGCAAAGTATCTTGATCCAACAAGTAAATAGCCCACCCCTGGTGGACTCCTTTTTTATTGTGCTTGTATTATTTTGTTAGGACTGCCATAACAAAATACCACAAATTGGTGGCTTAAAACAATAAAACTTCATTCTCTCAAAAAGTTCCAGAGGCTACAGGTCTGAAATCAACGTGTTGTCAGAGCCACACTCCGTTCTAGGAGAGAATCCTTCCTGGCTTTTCCAGCTTCTGGTGGCCAGGAAGCAATCTTACAAAGCATTTAAGGAAGAGCTAACCCCTGTCTTCACAGACTGTTCCAAAAAATCCAGAATGAAGACTCCCAAACTTTTTTTATGAATCCAGCATCATCCTAATTCCAAAACCAGATAAAGACACAACAAAGAAAGAAAACCTGAGGCCAATATTACTGATGAACATAGACGCTACAATCCTCAACAAAATATTGGCAAACTGCATCCAGCAATACATTAAAAAGATCATACACCATGACCAAGTGGGATTCATCCCAGGGATGAAGGATGGTACAATATTCGCAAATCAATAATAAATACTCCTGGTGGAGTATTTACCACGGTTGAGCAGCTTTGCCTTGAAGGGGAGCAGCTCTGTAGTGCCCTGGAAGGCAACCTCAAAAGCAGGCTGGACTAGCAGGCCACGGACCCAGGCCATGGAAGAAACACAGGGTATGGGGGTGAGGGCAAGGTGGTGGCCCAGAGTGGATGCTAATTTTTCATCTAGAGTTATCTATCCTCCAGAGTGCTGTGACCCCACAGAGGTGCCTGTATAAGCTGTTCTAGAGTTTTCTGCATTCTTAGTGTGGAATTCCTGATGGCAGTTGAAAGCAAGGATTGAAGGAGAGCTACTGAGTCCGAGGCAGGAAGGCAGGGTTGTTGGGAGAGAAGAAAGGGCACTGCTAGCATTGAATTGTGTCCCCTCAAAGGAGAGGCTGAAGTTCTAATCTCTGGTACCTGTGTATGAGACCTTGTTTGGAAATAGGGGCCTTGCAGATATAATCAGGTGAAGATGAAGTTAGTGGGGTGGTCTCTTAATTCAATATGACTGATGTACATATAAGAAGAAGAGAAGAAACATAGAAAGACAGACGGTGATGTGAAGATGGGCAGAGAAGGCCACACAGCAATGGAGTGATGCTGCCAGAAGCCAAGGAAGCCTGGGCCACCAGAAGCTGGAAGAGCCAGGAAGGATTCTCTCCTAGAACGGAGTGTGGCTCTGACAACACGTTGATTTCAGACCTGTAGCCTCTGGAACTTTTTGAGAGAATGAAGTTTTATTGTTTTAAGCCACCAGTTTGTGGTATTTTGTTATGGCAGTCCTAACAAAATAATACAAGCACAATAAAAAAGGAGATGGAATGAAAAATTAATTTTATCTGTTTTTTAGTTTGGGTTAAAACTGGCCTTGCTGTAACCTTGACTTCTGATTAATGCAATTTAAAAAACCACAGTTGAAAATGAAAATGAACTCACAACAACCCAAAAGTTATGGGACATAGTGAAGGCAGTCCTGAGAGGGAAGTTCATAGTCATACAGGCCTACCTAAAAAAGAAACATTTCAAATAAACAACCTAACCCTACATCTACAAGAACTCAAAGAAGAACAACAAAGCAGCCCAGAGCAAGTAGAAGGAAGGAAATAACCAAGATCAGAGAGGAATTAAATGACATAGAGACTAAAAGCACAATTCTAAGGACCAATGAATCCAGGAGCTGGTTCTTTGAAAAGATAAACAAAATAAATAGACAAGGCTTTAAGCAGATTCATCACGAAAAAGAGAAGACACAAACAATCAGAAATGAAAGAGGAGAGATTACAACTGACACCACAGAAATACAAAGGATTGTAAGAAATTGCTACAAAGAACTATATGTCAAGAAATATGAAAACCTAGGTGAAATGGACAAATTTCTAGAAAAATATAATCTTCCAAAACTGAATCAAGAAGAAGCAGAAAGCCTAAACAGACCAATAACAGCAGATCAAATTGAAACAGTAATAAAAAATCCACAACACACAAAAGCCCTAGAATGGACAGTTTCACAGAACTCTACAAAGCATTTAAGGAAGAGCTAACCCCTGTCTTCACAGACTGTTCCAAAAAATCCAGAATGAAGATTCCCAAATTTTTTTTATGAATCCAGCATCATCCTAATTCCAAAACCAGATAAAGACACAACAAAGAAAGAAAACCTGAGGCCAATATTACTGATGAACATAGATGCTACAATCCTCAACAAAATATTGGCAAACTGCATCCAGCAATACATTAAAAAGATCATACACCATGACCAAGTGGGATTCATCCCAGGGATGAAGGATGGTACAATATTCGCAAATCAATAAACATAATACATCACCTAAACAAAAGGAAAAACAAAAATCACATGATCATATCACTAGATGCAGAAAAAGCATTTGATAAGATACAGCACCCACTTATAATAAAATCACTCAGCAAAGTGGGAATAGAGGGAGCATTCCTCAACATAATATAGGCCATATACAAGAGGCCTACAGCCAACATCATACTCAATGGGCAAAAAATAAAAGCTTTCCCACTAAGATCAGGAACAAGATAAGGTTGTCCACTTTCACCACTTTTATTCAACATAGTATTGGAAGTTCTAGCCACAGCAATCAGACAATAAAAGGAAATAAAAGACATCCAAATTGGAAAAGAGGGAACAAAACTGTCATTATTTGCAGATAACATGATAGTATACATAGAAAGTCCTATACATTCCACCAAAAAAACTGCTTGACCTAATAAGTGAATTTGGCAAAACAGCAGGATACAAAGTCAATATTCAGAAATTGAAGGGATTTTTGTACACCAATAATAAAATATCAGAAACAGAAATCAGGGAAAAATGCCATTTGACATAGCTACAAGAAAAATAAAATACCTAGGAATAAACCTAACCAACTAGATCAAAGACTTGTACTCAGAAAACTACAAAACACTGAAGAAAAATCAAGGAAGACACAAACAAATGGAAATATATACTGTGTTCATGGATCAGAATAATTAACATTATCAAAATGTCCATACTACCCAAAGCAATTTATAGATTCAATGCAATACCTATTAAAGTACCAGTGGCATATTTCACAGATAAAGAACAAACACTTCAAAAATTTATATGGAACCATAAATGAGCCCAAATAGCTATAGCAATTTTGAGAAAAAAGACCAAAGTAGGAAGGATCGCAATACCTGATACCAAACTATATTACAAGGCCACTGTGATCAAAACAGCCTGGTACTGGCACAAAAACAGACACATAGGCCAATGGAACAGAATAGAGAGCCTAGAAATAAACCCATATCTGTATGATCAATTAATATTTGACAAAGGGGACAGCATCATAAATTGAAGCAAAAATAGCCTCTTCAACAAATGGTGTTGGCAGAGCTGGGCAGCTACATGCAAAAAAATAAAACTTGACCACCAACTTCCACCATACACAAAAATAAGTTCAAGGTGAATAAAGGAGTTTAATATAAATTGTGACACCATAAAGTCCTAGAGGACAACATAGGCAGCAAAATCTCAAATATTCCACTGAGCAATATTTTCACTGATATGTCCCCTAGAACAAGGTACATAAAGGAAAGAATAAACAAATGGGATCTCATCAAAATAGAAAGCTTCTGCACAGCTAAAGAAAACAGCATTAAAATGAAAAGAGAACCAACCACATGGGAAAACATATTTGCCAATGATACCTCAGACAAGGATTTGATCTCCAAAATATATAAAGAATTCACATGACTTCACTCTAAGAAGACAATCCAATTAAAAAATGGGCAAAGGCATTGAACAGACACTTCTCCAAGGAGGACATACAGAGGGTCCAGAGACATATGAAAAGATATTCAGTATTGCTAGCCATCAGAGAGATGCAGATTAAAACCACAATGAGATACCGCTTCACCCCAGTGAGAATGGCCATCATAAACAAAGCAACAAATAACAAGTGTTAGAGAGGTTGTGGAGAAAAGGGGACCTTAGTTCACTGTTGGTGGGATTGCAGACTGGTACAACCACTATGGAAAACAGCATGGAATTTCCTCAGAAAACTAAAAATGGAACTGCCTTTTGACCCAGCAATTCCACTGCTAGAATTATATCCTAAGAACCTGGAAACACTAATCCAAAATAACCTTTGAACCCCAGTGTTAACAGCAGCACAACTTATAATAGCCAAGTGCTGGAAGCAACTTAAGTGCCCACCAGTGAATGAATGGATCAAAAAACTATGGTACATTTACACAATGGAATTCTATGCAGCAGAAAGAAAGGATTCCTACCCTTTGTAACAGCATGAATGGAACTGGAGAGCATTATGCTGAGTGAAATAAGCCAGGCGGTGAAAGACAAATACCATATGATCTTACCTTTAACTGGAACCTAATGAACAAAACGAACAAGCAAGCAAAATATAACCAAAGACATTGAAATTGAGAACAGGCTGACAGTGACCAGAGGTGAGAGGGAAGGAGATAATGGCGGAAAAGGGTGAAGAGTTTGCAAGAATAATTATAAAGGACACATGGACAAAAGCAAGGGATGGGGGTGGAAACAGAGGAAGGAGGTGGGGAGGGCTGGGGGGATAAGGCAGAAAACTGCACTTGAACAACAATAAAAAAATAAGAACCTTAAAAAAAATAACATCTGCATCAAATAAAAAAGTGACTTCACACAGACACACAAAAACCACAACACCACAGTTGAACCTTAACCCTCTTTAGAGAAGCACCTGGGCTCTGTAACCACCTCAGAGAATGCTTTTACCAAAACAATTTTTTTAGTGTTGTTCTTTCATGTGATCACTAAGACATACTGAGAAAATAGTGAACAGTACTCCTGAGTTCAAGCTTTCAAATGGCCAAGTCAGTGTGAGAGACATTGTACCTCAGAGGAGGTAGGTTGGCACCCTTTAGTTTGAGATTGGAGAAGATAATGCATTATTGACTCAAGATTTTTATTTATAAGCTATAAGCAAATATGGAATCTTCTCTCTTTACTGTGATCCTTTTCATTGTTCTACCAAATGGGACTCTTACTTTGGAAACAATGGCTAAGCAAGGGAAAACCACTGTAGGTTTGGTGCCAGGCGGCTCCATGGGCATTTGCTCACCTCAGAATTCATCTGTAAAGAAGCCACAGCCAGGGCATTTTAATCCATTGGAAAGAAAGACCTTACGTGTTTACTACAGCACACCCCAAGTTGAGACCCTTTGAAGGGACTTGTCTGTGTGGGAGAGAGTTGCTCAAACACCTGGGATGAAACATCTGGGGTGAGTACATGCATCTGCAAGCTCTGTCTTCTGGGTTTGTGACATGAGGTCAGATGTGGTGGCGGTTATAGAGGTATGGTGGGTATAGGCCATCATAATGCCACTGGCGCCATTGCTCGATAGCCTCTCGGCTTCTCTCTTCCTGTTCTGGGGAGGAGAGAGAACATTGTGTTAGTATGGAAAGCACTCTGACCTGAAGAGGGTCGCCAAGCTGTCTTGGCACGTGTCAACCCAACTGCCCATGCCATGGTGCCATGGTGCCATGAACCAACTGCTCCTGTGTGCGTCAGTGATGAACATCAAATGTTGGAGCTGGCAGGACCTAAGAGAACTAAGAATCCAAAAGTAGTACTGTAAGAATCAGGCCCAGACAGGATAGTCACAGCGCAAGCTACCAAGGTTGCAGAGAGCAGGCTCTGGCATCCCAGGTCAGGGATCTTCCCTTATACAACCAGCAAAGGGGGAAGAGCCTTGTGCAGAAACTGGCCCAGAGTTATGATACCTAAGACATAAAATACCAAGGTAACAAAATAGTAATAAAAATAGACTGTAAGCCATACCATTGAAAAAAATCACAGAAGGAAACAGTTGTCAACTTCAAATGACGGGATTATGAGTAACTTTTCTCTACCTTGTTCTGTTTTCTAAGTTTTAAAAATGTTTTTTAAACTAATCGAATAAAGGGAAGGATGAAGCAAGTGTGGAGAAATCTTGACAATTGTTGATTCTGGGTGTTATTTGATGGAGGTTTATTATACTATTTGTACTTTTACATATATTTGACATTTTTTATAAGAAAGGGTTAAAAAAATCAGAAGGGAGTTTTTAATGAGTAAGAAAGTCCCGATTTTACTGTATTTTATAAGGCCTATTTCTGAAGAACACCTATGTTTGATGGTAGAAATAGGCTCCTGAAGCCAATTCAAGTCTGCCTGCTCTTGTTAGGTACCATTAAAGCTCGATAGCACAAGGCCTTCCATGTTTAAAAACCATGCATGTAGCTCCTCAAAAAGTTAAACAATTACTATGTGAACCAGCAGTTCTGCTCCTAAGAATATACCTAAAAGAACTAGGTATATACTTAGGAATATACCTAAAAGAAAGCAAGATCCAATGAGTGGATAAATAAAATGTGAGATATGCCCTGGCTGGTGTAGCTCAGTGGATTGAGTGCCATTCTGCAAACCAAAGTGCCACCAGTTCTATTCCCAGTCAGGGCACATACCTGGGTTGTGGGCCAAGTCCCCAGTAGGGGGTGCAGGACAGGCAACCACACACTAATGTTTCCCTCTCTTCCTCCCTTCCCCTTCCTAAGAAATAAATAAATAATTTTTAAGTGAGATATATATACATATATGTATGCAAGTATTATTCAGCAATAAAAAGGGATTACCTTCTGATACACACTACAACAGGAATGAACCTTGAAACTTGCTAAGTTTAATATGCCAGACACAAAAAGACATATTGTGAGTCCACTTCTATGAAATATCTAGATTAGGCAGATTCATAGAGATGGGAAATATATTAGAGGTTACCTGAGACTGTAGAATGGAGAGTTATTGCATAATTGGGTACAGGGTTTCTGTCTGAGGTGATGACAGGATTTTGGAAACAGTGATAGTTGTACAGCATTGTGAATGTACTAAATGCCATTGAATTATACACATAAAATTAGTTAAGGTGGCAAATGTTATGTATTTTGGCACAATTTTTTAAAGTATGTTTGAAAAATGTTGTTGGGAAGATGGGAAGTCCTAATAAAAGAAGTTAAGATCAAGGGTCAAAAAGCCTGTGAAGCTGACTTTAGTGCCAGTGACATGCGCCCTCTGTGCATGGAACTAAGAGCATGGCCTGGTGGCTTCAGCATGCGGAGAAAATTCACCTTAGTGCCTGTGAGAGCCAGAGGACCTCAACAGAAAGGGCCCCTCGTTAATGGTAGGGGTTTAGGCCATGTGTCTGCTGGGAATGTTTCCTTCCTATGGGAGCTTCGTATTGGTGCTACTCCTGGGGCTGACAATCCCCTTAGGGACTTAATACCCCAGAGATCGAGTTCACAGAGTTGGGCTCAGACTGGCATTTTGGGAAGCTATTGGCTGTGCCGACCTTCCTCAGGCTGGGTAGACCAGCTACTCTTTGCCAATCTTGAGAGCGTGATTCTATCCCCAGACCATGCCAGACTCTTCTTAGACTATTTTAAATTAGACAAAGGGAAGGCCCTCCTGGTAAAGACCAGAAGGTCTTGACCGTGTGGCTTTCCTGTAGGGGACCACTTGTGGCCAGGCATCCTTTGTTATGCAGCCAACCTCAGATGGCCTGACTCAAGCTTTTGGCTTTGCAGGTGGAAGGAAGCAGATGTATGCTACCACTTAGGCTTTAGAAGTGGGAGCTCAGCACACTGTTTATCCCCAAGCTTTCGGAGGCAGAACTCAGTTATTTTTGCCCTGTGAAGCTGGTGGTTTTGAGTAGAGTTGCAATGAGCAGCCACGGCAGAGCCAAGCGAGGCTCTAACCTTTCCCACCCACCTTCCCCAAACCAGGACCATGTGCTGGGTAGGTTGATACAGAAGCCTTCGGGGAGATTTGCAGGTCCTCAGGAAGGCCAGTTTTGACCAGAAATCTCTCTCCAGACTACCTGCCTATAATTCCTCGGAAATATAAGACCTTCTGGTGACCCATGCTAATCCCTCAGCATTTGCTTTTTTGAAGCAAGAATCTCGGGGAGAGGACGAATATCCAACTGCTCCCAATTCTGAGAATTGATTACAATGTCAAGACAAAGATAGCTAACTGAAACCAGAGTCCCACGGGTAGGTATGGGTGGCTGGGGAGTGGGGACCCTGGGGAAGAGCTACGAACACTGCCCCCGAGGGGGCGCAGGAGTCCGCAATCTGGCCGCGGGGCTCCAGGCAATGTCCTCTGGCAGAGGCCGGCAAAAAGGAGAAAAATCAGATCGAGGTTCCCCTTTGCCAACATTTACCCTCAGGTTGCTGCCTGTTCCACCTCTCCGCCTCCTTTGTGAAGCTGTGGGAAGACCCTCCTCTGGAACCCTCAGCTTTACCCTTCTTACTTCATCCTCACGGGCTTTCCAGGACCTCTGTCATTTGATCATTCTTCATCCTTGTGGGCAAGGCCTGAGGACCCTGATCTTAGCCTCTCTGGCTTTGTTGGAGTTGTAGTACCTGCTGTCTCCGCGGTGCCTAACCTCTCATCCTAATTTCACCATGAAATGAAAAACGGTGACTGTTTTCCAACCAGATGCTACGAGTTGGGATTTGAAATACTTAAAAAGGCACAAAATAAAATGCTGTTATTAATACTGTGAGTTAAAAATAAGATACTGAAGGAATTTTGGAGGCTGCATTCTCATTTTTAAAATACTTCTCCCCAAGCTGTCCACCAAGGTAAGCAAATCTCCAACAGAAGGGTTTGCCTCTGAGCTACAACAGCCTGAGTTGTTCTCAGAAGAGTTGGCTTTGCCAGGATTCAAGCCCAACAACTGTTGCAGGGCTCAGCCAGGTGCCACTGCAAGACAATGGGCATGGCCCACAGCACTCAGGTATCATGTCCTTTCATTATGAGATGCCCTGAGAGGGTGTTACCTCCCAAATCCAGCACAGTACACAAGCCAGGAAGTGACAACTTCAGGACTGAAATTGCTGACCTCTAACAAAAGCTAGCTAAACTAGGGCCTATGTCTAAGCTCATATGCATCCAGGAACTTACCCAGGAGCACTTCAGCCTTGAAAGACCAAGAAAAGGCTCTGGTTGGTGTGGCTCAGTGGACTGAGCACCAGCCTGTAAACTGAAAGGTTTCAGGTTTGATTCCCCATCAGGGCACATGCCTGGGTTGTGAACCAGGTCTCCAGTAGGGGGTGTGAGAGAGGCAACTGATCAATGTTTCTCCCACACATCAATATTTCTTTCCATCTCTTTCTCCCTCCCTTCACCTCTCTCTAAAAATAAGTAAATAAACTGTTTTTTGAAAAAGAGAAAGATCAAGAGAAGGAACACACATGCACGCATACAAACAGGCTTTCTGGCCTAATCCCTGTTAAATGTCCCTGTGGATTTTTGCTGTGAGTGACACTTGAGGGTACCTGGTAGATCCAAAGTTAAGTTCAACCTGATGGAAGGCTATGTGGTTCAAAGATGGAGCCTTCCTTTCCACCCACCCACGCTCACACCCCACTGCCTCCACTGAGGCCTTAGTGGAATCCGCACTCCTGGAAGAGGCAGGAGCACTGTCTGCTTTAGGGTTGAGGGCAGGAATGAGCTGTGCCGATTGCCTGGTGAGACAGGACACACTGAGACAAAGAGGACACTTAGCAGGGAAGACACTAACAGCAGGGGGTAAGGGCACAAGCAAGCCATGTAGAAACGTGCAGGTGCTCAATGTTGTGGGTGTGTTGGAGCCCCCGTATCACCTGTAGACATTGGTGTTGAAGGTGGGGAGGGGCTCAAGGCAGGACACCAGTGACCAGTGCTTTCTGAGTTTTCCTGGTTTGTTTCTACCAGTCAGATAAGATGCTGATTATAGTGACTAGGTACAGAAAGGCCTTGGTTTTCCAGGATGAGTAGTTCCTAGAGCCATCACACTGATATGAATCCAAGACACTTGAAACTGAATTTGAAATCCTCCCAACCCCACTCTACTAGTGCTAAGCCAGAGAACACCGGCCACCACAGTGATACCCAAGTGGGGGAAATGCAGTCAGCACCCATCCCCCAGTCTCTAAGCTCATGGTAACCAAGGGGTTACCATTCTCTTCCATCCCTTCTCCAGTTCTGTGGCCATTTTATGACTTTCCCCTTATTTTCAAGATTCCTATAGACACGAGAGTAGAGATTCTCTTTCTACTCTAATTAAAAGTTTGGAAGAAGAAGTAGAGGCACCTCATGATTTCCCCCACAAAGCCCCACTCCCCAGAGATGCTGGCTGAAGAGCTCTTACCATCGTTTTGCTCCTCCGCAAAGTTTTCAAACTCATTGCGTTGTTCCTCATGATATTCTCTTCGTAGCTCATCAGCCCGCAGCTTCTGTCTGTCCTCCGCTGTGAAAGGGCAAGAAGTGAGAGTTGCCCCCAAGAATAGGGGCATCTGCAGATATTTAGGGCAACACCAGTCATTTTGCCTAAGAAAACTTAATCTGGTTGGGAAGGGGTTGTTTGAGAGGGCTGAAGAGGGGGCTTCACCGAAATGGTTTATTCCTTACATAGGCTTTCAAACTTGAAGGACCTAGGAGGTCTTCTCAGCCAACATTGCTTTGTGCAAATGAAAGGACCGAAACCCCAGAAGGTGAAGCAATTTAGCTTCACTCATAAGATTAGTGGTGTGTCCAGGTACACGAGGCCACTTAGAAACTAGTAGTCCAGCCCTGGCTGGTGTAGCTCAGTGGATTGAACGCGGGCCTGCGAACCAAAAGTCGAGGTTTGATTCACAGTCGGGGGCATATGCCTGGGTTGCGGGCCAGTTCCCAGTGAGGGACAGAGGAGAAGCAACCATACATTGATATTTCTCTCCCCTTCCTATCTAAAGATAAATAAATAAAATTAAATTAAATTAAAAGAAACTAGTAGTCCAGTGATCAGAAATGAATTATAAGAGGAAGTCATCCAACTTAAAGTACATTTGACATTAATTAATGCCTTCAAGTCCATTCAATATCCTTGAGCACCTATCATGGCCAGAATGTATGGTATGCATTAGGATAAAAGAAGCAAGCAAGAGAGATTCTGTCTCACTACTAAGAGGCATTGTGGCTGCCGTGATAGAAATCTATACAGCAGTGGCCTGTGGTAGGGGATCTAAGATGACCCCTGATACTCATCCCCCTAGGGATGGTAATTCCCTCCCCTCATGTGGCACCGGCCTAGTAGTGACTTGCTGCTAATGAACAGAATATGGCAAAAGTGATGGAATGTGGCTTCCCAGATAGCTTACAAACAAGACTGGCTTCTGCCTTGGGTTGGTCAGCCTCTCTCTCAGTTTTGCCCTCACTTGGAGATGCCAGCTGCCATGTTGTACAATGTCTTATGAAGAGGTCCACTCATGGCAAGGGACTGGTGTCCTTGATCAATAGCAAGGACCCGAGGTTTGCCGACAGCCAATGTGAATGAGCTTGAAAACCAACCTTCTCGCATTCAGGCTTTGAGATGACTGCAGCCTGTTGAGAAACCCTGAGCCAGAGGCTACCAGTTAATTAGATCTAAATTTCTGACTCTAGAAAATGTGAAAAAATAAATGTTTGTTGTTTTAAGCTGCTAAATTTGGAGGGTAATATGTTTAAGCTGGCAGGTTGGGAGTCAGGTGTTATACAGCAACAGATAACTAGTGCAGGACATTGAGGTGGGCAGGCAAACTTCCTGATAACAATACTAACCACAGGTATGCCTTACTCTGTAAGGCAATTATTCCTGTAGAGTTGGCTTTCCACCTTTTTATGAGGAATCTGAGTTCCATGTTATAAAATTGGAGATACACCTCTATGGTTGGAAGAAATACCCCCAGTGAAAACTGAAACTGTCCCTGAGTGTGGTGGCTATTCTTTGGTGGCTGAGCAGTGAAGCTCACCAACAATACCTTGAACCCCAAAGAGAATCTCACCTGAACAACCACATCGCACCTCATCACAGGTGCAACTGTTTCTCACCTGTTCTAACTTAGCCTGGTGGAAAAAATCCCTCCCACATTTTAGATTTTTAGATGTAAAAATAAATTAGTTTCCAAGTTCATCCATTTCTGCCCTCAAATCTTCACCTTGACCTCTTTAGTGTGAGAGCTATAGTTGTCCGGTGGAAATCATTTAAAGCACACTCAGCTATTTTGAAATATTTCTTTTGTCTGAGCTTCAACTGAAAAAAATCCATGGCAGCAAGAAGGTCATGTCTGGTGCAGTGGGAACCAGTTCCTCAGTATGTCTCAACCCAGCCCCCATGACGGGAGGCATGATTCCCATCGCCTGAAAGTGGGGAGACTGAGGTCCCATTGCCCCCGCCAGCTTGGAAGTGCAAGAGGAAGTGGCGGTTTATGATGGAAGCAGAAAACTGAGGAAAGCCTTTGGTTTTCTGCCCCACCGCACAGTATAAGTGTGCTGGGAGAAGCAAGTGGTATTTCTTTGTGAAACAATAATACTGTGAACCATCTCAAATCCTTCTGGAAATGAGGAAGTTGATTAAATAAGTAAAGAGTAAGTAAACTGACTTAATATTAGTTGTTTACATTAGGCTTATATTGTTTAACTTAACTCAAATAAAAATCAAGTTATTTGAATTGGTCTCAGTGCCGGTTCCTTAGGTAAATCCCATGCTTTTCCCACACTTGTCCCTTCACCTGCATAGTTGCAGTGATCCTCAGTACAGCAGAAGGGACTGGTACACCTGCCGTTCCCCATGACTCACCTCTTGCTCCACAACTATCCACTTCTTAAGAGGGGATTCAGAGGCAGAGAAGGGCAGTGATCTAATCAAGGTCACGCAGCTGGTCCAGACAGAGCTGGGACTGGGGCCAGAACTCCAGGCACTCACACTCTGATGCTGGATAGACCACACTGTGCACAGCAGAGCACTCTTACAACCCACCACAAGCCCCGGTGATGCACCAGGTACCAGTAAGCTGCCCGGGCGGTGGGGGGAAGGTAGGGTAAGGGGGGTGTGGGGTTTAGACTTTAAGCAGGTGCTTCATGAGCCACTGCCAACTCCTAAAGAAGCATTACTCCAGAAAAACAACTATCTTCCCTAAATGCCTTTTGGGAGCTGCCACAAATTGAACCTTTGACTTAGCCATGAATAAAAACAACTTAAATCCTTGGGACCAGATGCTATTCTTCCAGCAGGCATTGTGCACAACTCTTCTCAGAAACATGTGTTTCATTGGATTGGTTCCTCCTTTCACCCTAAAGTGACCTACATCTTCACTCAGAAGCTTAGGGATATCAGATGCCTGTTTTCTGGTTTCGAATTCAAGTTTATCACTTGCCTTTTACTCAGCCTGAGACATAAGTGGGCGTTGATCTCCTGCTCATCCATAAAAATTGACCAGGTGACAAGAGATGCACTGAGGTGCACCCTAGGTATTCTCCAGGCTGTCCTGGCCGCCCCCCAACTGACTCACTGAGGTTCTATTTAAGGTGAGGAACTTCTGGTTTATTCATGCACCTCTTTGTTCGGCTCAGCTTCCAAGGATGGAAACTAATTGCCTCTAAAATTCATGCCTGTTTCCCACTGAAAGTCTGCCAGAAACTTGCTTCTCAGATTTCTATCAAGAACTGCCTAACTTCCATCAGTCTTTTCGGTGTTTCTTGACATTTGCTAACTTTTAAATCCCAAATTGTGTGAGGCCTGGAAATTTTCCCAGTGTGGTTAATATTTACCCATTTTTTTAAAAGGAATTTTATCTCCTGATATTTTCCACTCTTTTCTTCCCTATTATTTGAAAACAGTCCTGTTATTTTTATGGAACAAGTTACCTTACTGAGTGTGCTGAGTGATACAAAGGGTTTATTCAGACACACACACAAGTAATGAATCAAGCCATAGACTCGGAGACAGTCAGTGCTCAGAGTCCTTGGAAGAATCTAGTTCAAGGGCGGAAAACTCAAAAGCCTTTGAAAATTGGCAGGTCATGGAAACGAGGGCCCCTGCTAGGCAGGTGACACCGGGAATCCTTCAGGCAGAGAAGGAGTCAGGCCTCTGAGTTCAAAGGCCTCCCAAACGAATCGAAAACAAAAACTTTAAAGAACACTGCTGACTGAACATCACACTTTCAGGTGCTTGTAAATAAGGAAACTTGGGCCCCAGGAGAGGAAGTGGCCAGGCCACTTAGCCGTAAATCTGTCACCAAATCCACAATCCCAGCTCCGAGCCTCATTGTGCCCCCCTCCCTGCTCACAATGCTCTTGCTCTTGCATATACGGGCTCACTTCATAATACTCCAAAAAGCACACACTGGCATACATGCTCCTAGAACACAGATTCTCCCTTTCATGTTTTTAACGTTCTGAAGCCTGGATGCATCTCATCACTGTGAAGTGTATGTGGCACTGTCCCTTTTTGTTCCTTACCCCGACGGCGCAGTCATTCAAAAAGGTTGTGGCCTGCCATCAAGGAAATGTGGCATTTCTAATTAAGAGCTGCAGCCACTTTGATACCTAAGGACCTAGGTTGAGCCCTCAGTCCCTTGCAGTGGTCCCCACAGTCCAGTTGACTGGGAGAGAGAAGGAACCAGAGGGACCAGAAGAAGGTGGGCCATCTGTGTCCTTACCATTGACCTCGTCTCGGGATTTGGAGGACCGCTTGCCACGCTTCTTGAGGAAATTCGAGGCATCTGATTCCTGCATGAATATCTTCTCTTCCACACCTGAAACCCGAAAGAGGCCAGCCATAACCAGCACAGGCCCACCAGGGCCACCACAGGGGCTGGCCCACCCACCCTGCACCATGGGGTAGCCCCTGCACTGACCTTCCTGGGCCTCTTGTCCAGCCACCTGCCTGGTGCCCACGGATGCACCTGTCCCCTCCTGCAGCACTGTGAACAAGAGCACAGAGTGAGGGCTGCAGCACACCCAAGGGACCTTCACCCCAGCTAGGCTAGGACAGTCCTTCCCAGGCTCTGTGACTTGCCAGGCCCCAGTGTGGCATCCTGGGTCCCATACACACCAGCCCAGAGCTGACCTCCCCAGGAAGCCACCAGGCACGCTGTTTTCTCTGCATTGTATTATGTTGCACATACACCCCAAGCACAGCCATCTTACAGATAAACACCCCCCTTTGTCTCTGGGCCAGCCACCTGAGCAGCCTCACCTAACACCTGTCCCTCCTGGAGCCTCCCCGTACTCACTGAACAGGAGGAGCACAGCAGCTGAGAAACAGGAGACAAGCAGCAGGTGTTTCCAGGCCATCCTTAGAGAGGATGAGCTCTGTCTGGGAACCACAGGGCAGGCAGAGAGGGTTCTGCAGACCCTGAGGCCTCTGGGTCCTCACTTCAGTGTCAGGCCAGGAGAGAGGGAGGAGAGATTCAGGGAGCTGGGATGCTATTGAGGGGTGGAGTGGGAGGGGTCCCGGTCGTGGCTTCCATTGGCTGCTCCTGCTGAAGCACCAGAGATGTTTTTGGCACCTTGCAAACCTCACAGAAGCAGAGCCTGTCCTTGGGGCCTGGGCCGAGACAGTTCTGAAGTGACCTTTCCAAGATCCGCACCCGAGGAGTTGCTGTCGGAATGCCGGCCTGAGTCAGGATTCCAGAGACCAAGGGCAAGTTTCAAAGGATTTCTGGCATCAGCTGCAGAGGAGGTGGGGACTCTCTTCCTAGAGGCTGCAGCCTGCAGGAGGGAGGGAGAGGGGCTCAAGGGGCACTTCGACTCAGAAGTGTAGCAAGGAGGGACCAGAAAGGCAAGAAGACCTCCATCAAGGTGATGCTTGCACAGACAGGTGGGACATTCTGAAGGTAACCAAAGTACCCCTTGCCTTGACACTTTGTCCCCAGCTGACACCCACTGTCAAGCAAAGCATGGATCCATCGGCCTGTGGCCTCAGAGCCCCTTCAAGATGTTGAGGAAGAGAGCAGAGTCAGCCTTCCTCTGTGGGGGCAGAGTGTGCACTGGGGTCAGAGTGCCCAGCCAGGCTTACTCCTCTAGACAGAGACAAAGGCACCCCACATAAGGGAGAAAATAGGTCCCAGAAATGGGGGCACCAACAGCATCAGAGCTCCACGGGGTCATCAGAGAGCAGTGTTTTGGAGATGCCTCGGTACCATCATCTATTACGAACCATCTTCAATGCTTTGTTACCGGCTGCAGAGTTGACTTTGGACATTACTCAGAATCTCCCTAATGGCGATCATGCCCAGACCTGGAGCACAGCCTGCGCACCCTCCTGGAGCTCCCCTTTCCTGAGGTTTGCACAGCATCATCCTCGTGTACTTAGACCACCGGCCAGAAAAGGAATGTTAATGGCAGGAACATAACTGAGGCCGAGTAAACAAAATAAATGAGTTGGTTTCCAGTGGAGGAAAGTGCCACTGGAAAGTGCCTTGCTCCTGGTGGCTGGGAGCACACGCAGGGCTCCCCTTCCACACTGGCTGACCCCAGTTAACAGGGGTGGGCTCTGCATGATTGACCCAGGAGGAGCAACATGCAAGAGGACAGAAGAAGCATGTGTCTGTCAGATTAACTAGCTGTCACGTGGGAGAAGGAAGGACCACAGGACAGGGTGGTTTGGATGGGAATCTTCGGTGAGAAAGTGGGCATGTGAAACACCTGTGACAGCCTTGCTGCACTAATTCCTCTTGCTGCCTCTTTCAGTTCCATTTATTTCAATCACATGTATTTACTGAACACCTATTTTAAGGCAGGCCCCTGTGCTCATCACTGGCCAACCAGCTTTGGGTAAACCTATCCAGTACCTCCAAAGACAAGTCTTGAAGGACAAGGGTTTCCAGAGCCCAGTTGGAAGGGAAGGCATTATCCAAAGGTCCAGAGGAGTGAGGCCCAGTTGAGGAACCGCAGGTAGTTTTGTAATACCAGCACATAAGAGACGTGGAGAAGCTGAGGCAGGCAGGGCCTGGGTCACAGAAAAGAGTTCGGCCTCCATCTTTGTGATGACTATGAGCACAGCCCTCGGGCCAGGCTCCCGGGTCCAGTCCCAGCTCTAGACTTAAGCAGCTGCACAGCCTTGGGTGAGTCATTTTACCTCTGCACCCATTTCCTTCCTCTGTCACTTGGATTGATGTGAAGGTTAGAGTTAATGCATCCAAACTCCATGAAACGGTGTCTGTCAGGCACAGAGCATTGTATATGTGTTTGCTATCATGACACAGTAATGAAGCATCGAATGCTTTTGAGGAAGGAAGTGATGTAAGGTTTCTTGTGCAAACACCACCTTCCCAGTGATACAGGCGGTGAGAGGGATTAGACTCGAGTGGTGAGACTGAGAGAAGGCTGTTGTAATAGTCCAGATGAAAGAGGATGGCGGCGAAAGGCAGGAAGAGCAGGAATAGAGAGGACAGAGCATTTAACAAGATTGAAGAAATAGAATAAATGGGACTTGATGACTGATTAGCTAGGGCCAGTGAGAGGGTGGGAGGCATGAATTTCAGCTGGCTCCCGAGTTTCTAGTTTGGTAAGTGGATGAGATCATTTGGTGAGGTGAAGAAAACAGAGGGAAGAGAAAGCTCAAAGGGTATGTCCCTGAAAAAATCAAGCACACAACACCTGTAGGATTCAAACCAGGCCTTCTGAGGTCAAATCCAGTGCTCTTTCCATTTCCTCATAACCATCATTTTGTGAATGTACCCAGGGCTGTCCAACCTTTTGGTGCCTCTGGGCCACACTGGAAGAAGGGTTGTCTTGGGCCACACATTAAATACACAAACACTAATGAAAACTGATGAACAAAACAAAAGGTTTTAGGTAAATGTATGATTTTGTGTTGGATTGCATTCATAGCCATCCTGGGCCCCATGCGGGCCACGGGCCACCGGTTGGACACTAAACCATCACAAGTCGATTTTACAGCACTTTTTTTGCCACCCGAAGAAATCCATAACCATTGGCAGTCCCTCCCCATGTTCCCCCAACCCCCAAGCCCCAGACAACCACTAGTCCACTTTCTGTCTCTATGGATCTGCCTCTTCTAGACGCTCCATCTGAATGGAATCATACAACGTGTGACCTGCTGAAGCTGGCTTTCACTTCAAACATTGTGTTCAGGGTTCCTCCAGGTGGCTGTATGGATCAGTACTTCATGTCTTCTTGCTGGATAGTATTTCATTGTAGAAACAGACCATATTTATCCATTCACCAGTTAATGAACACTTGGGTTGTTTTTTCCTTTGGTTATTACAAATAATTTTGTTATGAACATTCTTGTGTAAGTTTTTATTATCATTTCTGTTGGGTAGATATCTAAGAGTGGAATTGTTGGGTCTTGTGGTTTGACTTTTTTGAGGACTTCTCATATCACGTTTTCAATGTTCATTTATTTGCTCATTTATCTCCTTCAGTGCAGTGAGGTCCCTTTTAAGGAAAAGTTTCCACCTTGTTCACACCTAAAATTTTATGTGGCAGAGAACAGATGCTTTATAAATGTCTGTTGACTTAATGAATGAAAATACTCTCAGTTGAGTGCATTAAAAGGAAGCATTTATGAGTTCATTTCAAGAGACTATTCATAAGACTGTACCTGTACAGGGACCTGAGATGTCCAAGTTTATTTATCACTGGGTTGAGGGTTCTTCTCAAGCAGCAGGAGTGAATTTTGTAGTTCATTTGTGAATTGCCTTAGAGGGCAAGCAAGACAGCCTTCACATTCCCTTCACCTTGACTACAGGTTCAGACAGGTTTCTTCCCTGACCCTTCTTTTATCAGAACATTTGGTTAAAAAAAACTTGCTATTAAACCTGGCTGGTGTATCTCAGTGGACTGAGCACGGGGCTGCAAACCAAAGGATCGCCAGTTCAATTCCCAGTCAGGGCACATGCCTGGGTCGTGGGCCGGATCCCCACTGGCGGCTATGTAAGAGGCAACCACACATTGATGTTTCTCCCCCTCTTTCTCCCTCCCTTCCTTCCCCTCTCTTTAAAAATAAATAAATGAAATCTTTAAAACAACTAGCTGTTATAAATTCTTACTCTGCCCTTTTGCAATATATACAAAGTTTCTCCCAGCCTCTTTCTAGTTTTACAACTCAGAACATTTCTTTCTCAAGGACCTGGGAACCATATTTTTGAAATGGAAACATTGAAGGAGATAACACCCCTACCTTCCAGTCTCTGTAGGAGGGGACATGCCTGACTTCGGTGCGTTTCTTACTGCAACTGTGAAGGCCAAGTAGCAAACACAGGTGGCCTACTCCCTACACCCCAGTAGTCCCCACACCCCAGTTCTTGAAACCTCTCTAGCCCTTTGTGGAGTCCAGTTTAGTCTCTCTACTCTATTGATATAGTCTAGAATAAAGTCCTCCTTGCCTGCTGAACTTTGTCAGTGCAGTTAACAGTGCAGTTATAACCATCACAAGGACATGGACTCAACATATCACCTGGTCCACCAGGGACTGTGGGTGCAGCTCAGGTGAGTGGAAATGCAGGTAAGTGGTGAGGGGGCCTCTATGCAAATGAGATAGATCACTAGGTGTTGTAGCCCAATGATAAGCATTATCTCAAAATAGATATATAAAAACCCATTGTCCATACTTAATGTTAAGAATATGTTATGTTCTTTTATTTCACTTCATTTTCAATGTACTAATTATGTTCCTGAGCCTCTCCTCACACCCCCACCCAGCTGATAGAGTGAGTTAAGGATTGTACCAAAAATGAGACTCATGACCCTTGAAACCAGCGGGTCCCCAGAACTCAGCTTCCTCAGGAGCCCCCATGAAGGATCTAGATGAACACCTTTCTTGCCACTTCCCCAAGCCTCAGCATCAATGCAAAGGAAACACCTTAGGTGTGAATATTAAGGCTTATTTGTTGGACAAGAGAGTGACAGTTTGCAAAAAAAGTTTTAATTCATTTGAAATCTCTCTAGAGCTGATTATGTTGACACAGATGGGTGTGGAAAATGAGGGCTTAATGAGTCATGACATTTGTAAAACCTTCTGATTCCTTATTTTCCTATGAAAAACATTCATTTCTCTAAGACCTAGTCAGTGTCATGGAGCTTCTTTATAGCTTTTCCCTTGTGTGCCATGAAAATATTATCAGTCCCTATGAAAACTGACTAGAAGTCTCCTGGTGAAATTAAGTCTGACAGGAGATGTCTTCATTCGGAGAGAATCAGCATTGCTAGCCTCATATTCTATTCCCAGCGTGACCTACAACTTCCTTGAATCTATTAAGAACATTATAGACCCTTCTCTGTGTCTTGCTTTTCCCATATCTCATCCAAGGAAATCAAGAAACACTTGTCCTCCATCATCACTGCTAGAATGTAGGACGTATTAGCTGAAAAGCTTTGGAAAAGGCACGGGACAGTCTATAGCTACA